CAGCATTGTCCAATTGAAACAGTTTTGACTTTATAAGCTTTAGAGCATTTAACTTTAAATCAGGTGGATGGATGGTGTTTTTCACATTAGTTCTTTCACTAATTTGATTGGACTGAATATACACCTTCAGATACTTGTAGCAGTTAGTTTTTACTATATCTGTGGTTGGAGCATTTGGCATATTTACAAAGGCTACAGTGTATTTCCCAAAGGCTGTATCTCAATAGATGATTCATCAGGAGCCTCTTTACCAGCAACAGTTTCTATTAATTTATTTTGCAGTCATTTCAGAGGGAATTTCAGTTTCTTTATTGTTCTCTAACATCATATTATGAGATCTTTAGACCATAATATTTACTGTTCATGCCCACTAAGACATGTTTTATAATATGACAGCCAGATTTATTTCACAGCACTGCAGCACAGCAATAGTTTTTAAGGTATTTTCACAAAAAGGAAATGAAGGAATATCCTGCTATAGTAAGCATGCCATGAATCATAACTCTCATACTTTTCTACTGCCCACCCCTGCAAGCTTTGGCCCAAAACCACATCCTAGGCATTCCTGTCAATGTGTAGTGTGTGTCCAGGAAACAGCCCGAGGGCTGACGTTTACGGCTTCCACCTCCTCACAGTATGCACTTTTGGCCCCGTCTAAAATTCCCATATGTTTCAAGAAAAACACAAATGTAATTTTCTTTTTTTCTGCAGTGTACTTTGTTTGACATTATAAATATTCAATTCCAGTCAAAAAGAAGAAGAAATGAATGAGTGGGGTGAACACCGTCAACCAGACTTACCTTTTGACCAAATATCTCGGACAGCACGAGCTTTATGGCTTTCTGCAATCAGCCATTCGTCCAAAAATATTATTAAAAAAAAAAAGAAAGAAGTAAAGCTCAAAAATTTCTGACTGGACAAAAAAATTGAAGAAAAGCTGTCACCACTACAACTAAGAAAATCCATACATTCAAGATCCTGGTCAGATGAATAATGTAAGATTAATCCTTCTCTCTGAATAAAGACAATTCCTCCACCTTCCCTTCAACCCACCGATAAATTGTGAAGGGACGGATTGTGTAAAAAAAAAAAGATGAGGATTTTAGAAAAAAAACAGAGGTAAAGAAAGGCTTAGAGGAACAAGAGGAGGTAAGAGAGGCTAAGGTCCTCAGAGGGAGAGGGATGGAGATAGTTAATCCTTTTCTTAGGATCTGTTCCGTGTATGAATGATATGTCCAGCGCTGTCCTGCTCGTTGGCTTGCGTGTTGCCGTGTGTCTGAGAGGCGTGAGTATGTGTGAAAAAGAGAGAGACGGTGTGTGTGTGTCTGAGAGAGATAGAAAGAGAGGCAACAGCGTTAGGTTGCTGGCGTCATGCGCTACCCCTTCTGTGTCGCTATGTTTGTGATTCCTGCACTCAGCACGCGTCGGAGCGTGTGTGTGTGTTTATCCATGCATGTACACTTGAGGGTTGTCTTTCCGGTGCGCCTTTGTTAGACTGTGTGTGTGTGTGTGTGTGTCTCGATACTCCCACCTCCCCCGTTTTTCTTTACGGTACGTGTGTGCAGCCGTGCATGTGGCAGGAGAATGTACGTGTGTGCGTGTGTGTGTGTGCCTTGTCAAATATAGTAACATTAGTGTATGCTGCCTCTGTCTGCCTGCAGCTCTCCCACTGTGACAGAGAGAAGAAGAGGGAGGTGGAATACAGAGTGCGTGATAATACGAACGAGTGAAAGCTGAAGGAGAGATAAGGGAAAATACAGAGCAACAGAGTGAGGAGAAACTAGAGAGTGGAGTGGAAGGCATTGGGAGAAATGTGAAAGAGGGTGCAAAAAATAAATAAATAAATAAGGAAGCTAGGTAGGAGAAAAGGGAGGCAGAGGACACGGTGGGATGAGGTTGATGGAAGGGGGACGGGAAGAAAGATTTGAGAGAGAAAGCTGTGGCGGTGGAGCGAGGGAGGATGCGAGAGAGAGAGAGAGGGAGGGATCAGCTGATTTCAGTAAAGATGAGAATCTCCCTCTGCCACATGGGCTTTTCTCCTCCCTCGATTTTTTTTCCCTCCTCACGTCTCCCTCTCTCAGCTTTCATTTTCATCCTATTCCCTGTGGCAGCTCTCGTAACGGCTGTGTTTGTGTGTGTGCATGTGGCTGTATGAGCACATGCACTGGTGTGTGTGTCCTTGTTTACATCTCACGGACAGAACTGTGATCCTCATGAGATAAAGCAGTCCATTTTTAGGTAAATTAGATAGATTAAACTAGATAGGTTTATGCATGCCTGTGCAGTGTTTTGTGAATAATTGTGAGAAGCGTTTTGGTGGAAGATATCATTGACAAGTTTAAGACAGGTGTTAGTAAGACAGTATGTGGTTTGTAAAGCGGGAGTAGGGTATGAACTGGTGGGGCGACTGTGTGTTTGTTTGCACACAGCATATAACTACTTGGCTGCTTCCTTACATGGCTTGAATCATAGCTCTCTCACACATACACACACACATTGTGCTGTTAATGAGCATGTGAATCGCTTGGCTCAGATTCAGTGTTCAAATGAGAGACTAGTTGTTTCCATAAGAAACTGAACCAAAATCGCTCATGAGCCAAGCGTCTTTTTCTCTCTCTTTCACTAAAGGGACTGGCATTGTTAACAGAGGGGGGTTTTCATCCTCTCTTTCTTTTCCACATGCTGGAAGCCACCGATGACTGATTTTTACTGTTTTTATTTGGCAAATATGGCCGAAATAGATATTATACACCAACCAGACCAGACCTCAGAGATGATCCTTAACTTTGACCTTTCCGGGAACAAATTTCATGTTGAAGCTGCACCTGTCTTTGGATATTTCCAATAGAGCCCAGCTGATACAGGATTTTTAATACTGATGCTAATACCAATGCACTGATACTGATATTTGGTTATTCAAAAACCTGATATTCCAATACTGACCAATGATTTTTTTTTTAAATTTCAGACACATGAAATATAAAAAGAGTTCCCTAACTCTTATGTGTACTTATTGAGTTTCGTTTTTAGGCTATGCAGACTCTTGGCCTTTGGTGGGCAAACTAGCTAATATGAGCTGATAATATCATCCCTCTAATGAAAAGAGTAGGCTCCAATTAGCAACATTCGAATAACTGTGCAATGCAAAGGACTGTGGAATATAAAGCTGATACCAAGTGCATGGGGCCACTCTGTGACATTTTTACAGTGTTAGACCTCACTCATACAGGCCTAGAGACCAATAAACAAACCCCTGATTAGCTCCAGTTCTGTAATCTCCACCTGGTTGGTGAGTTGTTGCTGGGCGTGGCTAGATGAAATTGGTGGGAAAAAATGCACCAAAAAAACTCGTTTTGATTGCTTTAGTCTTTAGCAGATTTCCACAGATTGGTGTTTCATATGTAAGATATTGAATTGAGTGCAAGTAGTCGCCAACTACTCGCCGACTGACAGTTAAAATGAAAAGTGTGATGCAAACCAAAAACAGAGGCTGTTTGCCTTCAAGGTAAAAGTCGCACTCTTTAAAATTCTAGGTCTGTGTGACTGTTGCCTTATGCAGCTCCTCAAAGCATTTGAACATCTTCCAGCTTCTTATGATCTTGTTATTTTACAGCTTCAGTAAAAGTTTGCAGCATTCCTGATAAGGTAACTGTGCACTTGGCACATAGTTAGCCACTATCTGGTGAACATACTGGTTATTAAGCAGCTAGCGTGCCCAACATTTCCCTTAGATGGCAAAGACCAGAGCAGAATTTAAAGAGGGCGATTATTTTATTTTGAAAGGACATCTATCAGGTGGACAGAAAGACTTTTCCAACTGAGTGCAAATGTTTGTACCATTTAAGATGTAAGTGTAAATACACATCTATTTGTTACGAATTTTTGCATGAACAAAATAAACAGTGAAGAGAAGAAACAGGAACATCATTCTGGAGGTTGGACCAAACAATTGGAAATGGATTTCAAGAAATCCAATCTAACTGTGCACCTTCTTTCAGTTTGCACATGTCAGTGTCTGTTGCCAGGCTGAAATATTTACAAAGGCTGGTTAATACATTGGATTGGTCAGCTGCCCAACACACACACACACACACTTACAAGAATAATCTCAACTGAGTTCTCTGGTTTCCTGTCCAAATGTGGGCACTGTGCTGGCTTTATGACATGGATGTAGTTACTGGCAGACAGAAATCATTATTTTAGCTGCCAGTAGCTCCGGATAGTGTTGGCTGTAAGGACATGCTCTTCAGCGGTATTAAAAATGATTGGCTAGAATGACAGGAATAGCATGGAGTGTGCAATATGCTGTTGCACAAAACAATTTTATCTCAGCGTTGAGTGATGTTAAAAAATATTTAAAGGTAGAAAGAAATTCTATTTTTGAATGAGCAGTGGTAGCAACTCTTCCTGTGTTTGTCTGCACATTCGTGTGCAATCCCAAAGGAGTAATTAGTCCTCTAATTAGTCCTGCCAATCCCCTCCAGAGTGCAGAGGTCAGCAGCCAGGGTCAGCTGCTTGGCACTGCCAGGTATTCAGTGCCAGGCTCAAGGACAATTTGCCACAGTTGTTATAAAATATAAAAATCGTGCTTAAAGCCCAGTGTTAATAATAGAAACTGTGGGGTTTTTTGTTTTGTTTATTTTTCACCGGCAGATGTTTCCCCTCCTGCAGTTTTAAACACCACTCAGAAACCAAGTGAAAGAACACTGAAGGCAATTCAGTTTTTTCAGAGGCATCCATCTGTCGGCTCAAAACCCAAACATTTGGTATCTTGTGCCAGACTTTTGTCTTAGCACCACCCATTAATTATCATACATTGCTTAGCATCTGAAAGAGGCCTTGCACTTCTGTGGTATTGTCAGAGATGTGAGCCCTTGCGGTGGCACTTGCTCTCATGTTCCATTTTTACACTCAAAATTCAGAGTGTTTCAACTCTGACTTTGTTTTTTCATTGACCTTGCGGTTTGCAGCAGATGAAATGACACCTGTCTGTGATGTAACCTGAAAGCAATCCCCAGTGGATGAAAAGGGAAAAAAAACCCTTTCATATCTTACGGCCATCTTTGTTATCAGGTTCTTACTTTTTCTCCAAAGAAGCACAATTGGTGCTGCTTTTTGCATTAAATTCAACTACTGCATGTAAATCACTGACATGTTTGCCAGCCTCTGCACTGTAACGTGCACCCATCTTGTAGTGAACACAGTTAGCACCCCTGGTATTAAGTAAGCAGCACTAGCATTTGGCAAAATCCAATCTCTGATCTAAAATCAAGGCTTAATATGTGCTCAATCCTTTGTTACTTACAAAATCTGTATGAAAACAAAATCCTTATACTCTATGTGTAAAAAAGAAAAGTATGGCTGTTGTTTCAGAACCACGGACAGCAGCACTGTTTGCTGTGTTATGATCTGATGAAATGACACAGAGTGCAGTGTAGTAGACTGTTAAATCCCCCCCCCCCTTTAGTTTCCCAGTTTATTTAATTTTTTGTTGTTGTTGTTTTTGATAGCAAATATTGAATTATTGCCAAAAGTTTTATTTACTAAACAGTCCACAGAGAGAGAGACAGTGGGAAACACAGAGGTGAGAGAGCGAGAGCTATAGCTGTTTCTGTGTGACTCACCTGGCTGATTGTTGCTTGCTTTTAGTTTTGTTTAGTTTCAAGAGGTAGCAGGGGTGCTGAGAGTTTTTGTCTCCTCAAACCCGCCAGAGCAGCACAGTCACTTCGTCCCAGACCTCCAGATTTACAAATGAAACTCTTTTCTGAAACAACAGAAAGAGTCCACTGTGGCTATAATTCTCAATGTTCATGTAATATATATATATATACATATTTAAAAGCAAGTTGTAAAATTCTGATAAATGTTTAATTTAATAAACAACACTGTAGAGAGTGTGATTGCTCCTCTAGCTCAGGTAGTTCATTTAAAATTTTGCACACTGATTGAGAAGGAAGAGCTTTTTACAACCAGGTAAGAATGCAAGGCAAGCTTATTTATTTGTTTCTCCAAGGGATTTTTTCCTCTTTTTTTAGGATTGTTTATATGTCTGGCAAAAAAGGCATGCTGGCATTGGGATCCATTTTAAGTGCCAGCACCTCCTGCCAAGGCGACTTTTATGGCCAGTTCTGTTCCATCAATGATGCAGGAAAATACGTGTTATGAAAAATGATTACTTGCAACGGTTTGGAGCAGGAAAGTGTATTTTTTGTGTTTTCTGCATGCCTGTTGTGGTGTTGCACAGAAACATTCATCCTCTAGCTACATGAATATTGTTTTATTTATTATCTTGTTGGCATAATTAAATCCCTGCAGTCCTTGCTGTCTCTTGCCTCCAGTATTGATGATATATGAATTTAAACCCAGTCTGTAGCATTCATTATAAGTTGGAGTATCAC